TTATGTTAAATTTCCGTTTTGTAGTTGCGAATACACTCTTGGATAAAAAGAGCTAAATGTTGTGTTGGAGCTACGACTGATGGAATGAAATTAACGAATAATTATTTGCTAAATTTCGAAGCTCGAGACGAGACAATCTTACCATGTAGCTCCAACCAAATTGTGGAAACAAGCAGGGAGTTTGGTAAATGAATCCTCTTTGGTACCCCTTAATAACAACAATGCATATTGCTACGCACGCCAAACATGATGGTATGAGATATTGATTTAATTGTGCGTTCATATCGTTAACAATATATTCTCCCCGATATACTCTACTATAATCTTCATCCAAAACATCAACAATATATTCACCCAACATATGTTTGTTTGCTTGTCGATGATTAGGTTGAAACATTGTTGAAGAACATGTGTGTACGTCAACAAATTTTTCCATTTGGAAAAGTCCGTTAGAATTTTTTATTCCTTCTGCTCTTTTAACCAAGAACATTTTTTCCTAACACACACAACCTCATGCCTTGATTTGGTCGATCTACTTGTCTTTGTCTGAAAACCCAAGACATTTTTCCCAATCGTCCGTTTTAGAAGGTTTTTGTTTCCAAATATTTGCAGGCATTCAATCTTTTGATTAGAGTCTACCCTATGTGATGAGATTTTTTTATTACCATCAATTGTACATGTCGGTATAAGGGGCATACCATAAAAAAGGTTATCGGAAAACATAGGTTTAGGTTCATCACTTAAATCATTTTCATCAGAATTGCTTTCTAAGTCAGATATATCTAAATCTACATCAACAACATCAACAAATCCCCGTAACCATGTAGATTTTCATCTTTGTGAATCATATTTTTTTTTTAGTTTCATATACTCTACCTCTATTGATAACCTTAATTTCTTGTTGCGAAACATTAACAGAACAACCACCCACGTCATTAAGATATGTAGCAACATCATCATCACCAACGTACTTGTAATTTTCAGGATCCACATAGTGAATAAGTGAATACATCACATTTACATTTTCAACAACATTATGAAACTGGAGTACACTAGGAGTCATAAAAGTACCTATTGGGTTGGTGCTCCCTTGATCGCTGGATAAGTTAGCAACCAACTCATTTCCTCTCTCACTACCCTCCGTAACTGCATCACCTTCATCAGCCACCACTAACACTTTCACAACACTTATTCCAATCGGTTTGATTATGTTGATCAACATTCTAATATCAATGTCTTCAACTATGACTATGTAATGATTCAATTCAGGATGACGGAAGCGGAGACTAGTTTTATATCTATCTAACAAACTGGTTTTCATTTTCACCAAATATATAAAATCAGTAACATCCGATTACCATGTATTATCATTTCTAGCTCTTAATTTTATAAAAGTTGCATAATTGGTCCCTTGTGGTAAAAGCTTCGTGTTTTAGCCGTACGTTGGGCGTACTTGTGTGATGCGGGATCGCGGATGTCCTGCTAGTACGCTGGGCGTACGTGTGGTATGCGGGGCGTACTAGCCCAATCACTAAACCCTAATTTTAAGGGTTGCTCCCTATTTAAACAACCTTATACATCCCTTAGACTATCCTTATCAGCCACCATTCCATCCTTAAAGCCTAATCTCGAGTCTAAGCTTGTTAGTGAGAGTTTGGGAGCTTATTAAGTGATTTTGGTGCATGTTTTTGAAGAAGAAGAAGTTTAGAGAAGAAGGAGTTGTTGTTTGCAAGCTTGAAGATCTAGAAACCGCTCCTCGTTGTGCATCTTTTTCAGGTATAAAGTTTAAACCTTGTTGAGTTTCCTATTTGATCTCCATGGATGAGTTTTATGAGCTTTTTGTCCCCAAGTTTGGACCTTTATAAGTTTGGAGCACTCCAGAGAATATTAGTTGCCCTTTCATACATTTTAGGACTTGTAGATCCATAAAAATGGTTGCTTGATCATTTCCTATGACCCATGCATGAGTAAAGTGGCTTAGAGTGTGATGGAAGTTAGAGTTTGTTGCATTGGGTCCTTTCTAGCCATGCAAAGGCTTAAAGTCGACAACTTTATGGATTAAGACACCCTATGATGGTCAGACATGAAGTTGGGTTAGATGTCTTAATGGATTAAGACACAAAAGTTGGTGAAAGTTGAATCAGACGGAGTACGAGGGGCGTAGCCGGTTCCGTCCCCGATCGGTTGCTGTTCGAGTAGTACGCCCCACATAAGAAAGAGTACACCCAACGTACGCGTTAGGTAGTTGACTTTCATTGACTTTTGACTTTTGGTCAAGATTTAGGGTTTTGGATCATGAGAGGGGCAAAATGGTATTTTTTTCCCTTAAATCACTTAGTTGTGGGTTTTGGAATCACGAGTTGAGTTATGGACCTCAATTATTAATTATTTCGTTGATTAGGCGGAGTCTAGTTCTGGCAGTTTGGGTGTGAGATTTACTTGTCGTCAGTATCAGGTGAGTCTCCTCACTTATTCTTACCTGTGTGGTAGAATAATTGTATTTTAGATGACCAACTGGGCCTACTATTATTCTTGTATTATACTGTTATGTGTGACTGAGATTACGGATAGTCTCCAGGGTTGCTGATAACCCATAGGGTGTGCTGTTGCCCACAGGGACTGCTGATAGTCAGGGTTGTTGATAACCCATATCTGTTTATTTATGTTGTGCTGTATGTGGTATCTTTGGGAACTCACTAAGCTTCGTGCTTACAATTGTTGATTTATGTGTTTTCAGGTACTTCTGAGGACCGCAGGAAGGTGAAGGTCTGATTGTACAGACTCGCTGAGAGATTTGTTACTGGGACATTTTAAGATACTCTGATATTTTGTGATGATGTTTGTCTTAGTCACTTATGTTTTTGGATGAATTGATTTGTGAAACTTTATTTTAGGAAATTAAAAATGAAAATTTTGGTTTAAAATTTGAGGTGTTACAAAATCACTATAACTAATATATACTCCAAAAATATCAAAGCGAATTCAGAAATTCCTCAATGTGGATATACATATTCCAGATTTGTCTCTACAAACTCCCACCTCCCGCCATTTACAACGCAAACCAAATATTCATTCATTTTATTACAGAGGTTTTAAACAAGTCTTCCAAAGAAATATCTGTTAAAGTGATAATTTTTTGCAAATTTTTATATATAATATGGTAATTTCGTAGTCAAATCAATCATTTATGTAGTCAAAATAAAAAAATTAAACCGACAATTCACAGATAGACTGCAAAGTAAATCGCAGATGGATTGCAGTTCATCTGCGGACGTGGGTGTAAAACATATATTTATACCAAAAAATCTCATTATCCGCGAACGTACAACAATCGATGCACGTCAATGCTTTACCAACTTGTACATTCGTAAATATGAAAGAAAAATCGCAAATGACCCTAATCTATCTACGATTTTAGTGGTTATTTTTTGTTATCTTGTTTTTTTTGGTTATTTTCTGCAAAGTATTTAACAAAAGTGGTCATTTTTGTAATTTTCTCATATAATTATAATGACAAATAAAATAAACTGTAAAGAAAATTTAAAGGATAATATAGTTTTCCATATTTAACGGACCAGGTCTAAATTAAACTAACTAAAAAAGACAAAACCTTTTAACTTTATAAATATATTATAAAAAAATACAATAAAAGACATGGATCATTTTTTAAGGAGTTTTGACTATTGAACTTACGATCTTGTATCGATTTAGCCACTTAAGTTCTAATGATGGTCCCTGACCACTAAAGTCTTGATTTTTTTTCCGTTTTGCCCTTTTGACCCTCACCTCCCGGTTATCCGATTTATTTATTGACCTTGAGCCTACGTAGCCTTGCCTTTGGTTGAACGACATTGTTTATTCTTTCTGTTGCCCCTACAACCTTCTTATTCACGTCCCAGACTTCACTCCCCCATATTTTTGCTTCTTCCATCACATCCCTGTCCTCCTTTATTGACTTGTTGAAATCGACTTAGGAAGGCGCTGCCAGCACCCACAACCATCGCAACCTCCACCATTATTAACTTCTTCATTATATCTGTTTTGAAAATTCTATTCATCATTGAACCAGGTCCGATGTATATATATATATATATATATATATATATATATATATATATATATATATATATATATATATATATATATATGTGTTTTCAGTTCTTTTTAACTTCGTTATGAAATGAATTATGTTTTTGTTTTTCTCTTTCCAAAGCTAACTGATCTTAGTGTATGTTTGTATGTATGCATTTTTTTTTTCAGGCGTATGAGTATGAGCTCTGTCTTTTTTTTTCTGGATTTTTTCTTTTCCTTATTTGTTAATTCAAAAATCTCAAATTAAGGTTTCATTTTTCCTTCCAGGTGATATAGTTAAGATCTTTGTCGTGGTAGTGGTTTTAAAGTTTTATTGGGTTGAATGATTTAGTTTTAAGTTTTAGGTTGCAAAAACAGATACCAATGTTACATACCAATTTCAAATTCATGTTTAAAATATTACAAATGATGCTAGTAGTGACCTAAATGATGATGCCAGGCTTTTTTTGTTGTAATTTAATCAAATTTTTATTTAAAAACAATTTCTAAAAATACACGTGAATTTTTATGGGACATAATTTCCTATATGGCATGCCACATAAGGAGCTACAAACATGTTGTAGGAAGTTAATTTTTTTTTTCACCTTTTTATTTTTTATTTTTATAAAAAAGTAAATTAAATGGACCAAAATTGAAGAATTTAGTGATTAAATTGAGTCTCACCATAACTTACATTTTCATAACTTTTAAGTTGCTAAATTATACACTTTTATGACTTGTAGTTATTTAAGCCAAAACTCTATTTTTTAATTACAAAGATTTTTATATGGAGATTTACATTCTTAATGGGTTAGACTAGTGGCCCATCCAAATAAGCCCATGGTTGCACACTTGTGACTTGTAGCAGGCTGTAGCCCGTAGTTGAATTCGAGTGTTTGCTTACCAAAAAGAACGCAACTGCAAGTGCTGATACCGCTTCTTCTCGTATTTTCTTTCTCATTTTCAAAAGAAGGCCAACACTGAAACCCTAGACAAAAATCTACCAGCTTCAGCTACTGATCCCTCGAGTCTCACACTTTAACCTCAAGCTATGCAATCACCGGTTCTTGTTCTCAGTAAGTTTTTCTTTCGCGCACTCTCTCTCACACACACACATCTATCGAAGATCATGTGTTGTGATCTCATGATTTGCTCCCGTTTTTTTTTTTTTTTTTTTTCTGACAATGGTGGTAGAATTTGTACTTTTCTTACTAGCTATGGTTTATATTGATCTATTTTTGAAGTACTGTCACACTTGTGAGACCATAAATTCACGAGATTTAGAATCTGAAAAACGCAAAAGCGAACTTACGTGTTTGATGCTTAAGACTTGCTTAGCCTGGGCGCGGCAAGAACGAAAAAGATGGTTTTTGTGGCTGTTTAAAGTTTGATTGGATGCTATTCATATAAGAGTAAATACTATATGCATTTTGCTAAGAAATTTGAATCATATGGTTTAGGTTGTTGCAATAGGTTTTGGATTGAAGTCGGTTACTATATGTTTAATTGTATTAGGGACTTCGCTTCCAGAAAGACCTATGTTTTGACATTCTTAAATTAAGCATTTACTACTGTTCAAATGCATGATTGATACGTTTTTTTGTTAAATTTAACAATCTTCCACCATCGATTTCTATCACTTACATGTAAAATATGACATGGATAGACATAGACTTGACAATAAATCTAAAATCTCTCACTATTGATTTGAAATGTCACCATCTTGAATCAATACCAGTAATTTTCTTCATAGTTTCAGAATAACATCTACTTATGCTGACCATGTGTATACAATTTAAACTGTGCAGAGGATTCGCTCACCCGTGAATCTGGAAGTAAGGTTCATCATGCAAATATACAAGCTTCTAAGGTGACAAATTCACTTGTATTGAATTGTTATTAGGTTTTATTTAAGCCTAGTTGCTTCTGTCTGAAGGCTACATGAGCTTAGTATAATGCTAATCCAACATTCAATTGCCATAATATTGAAACTGCTATAAGTATTCTCTAACATAATAATGGGAATGTGAAATGAGGATATTTTTTAACATTTTGAGTTCATTATCAAGATTCTCGGTTATTTTTTTGTAAGTGATATATCTTTTAACAGTAATTTTTGATCCCTATGCAGGCAGTTGCTGATATTATTCGCACCACATTGGGGCCAAGGTCCATGTTGAAGATGCTTCTAGATGCTACTGGGGGTGCTTACATTTTGAACATATGTGCATGTGTGTGATTTTTAGTGATTATAAAGTTATAATGGTTATTTGAATCTTTGTTTTTATAGGAATTGTTGTCACTAATGATGGGAATGCCATTTTGAGGGAACTGGATATTGCTCACCCAGCTGCAAAGGTTTTTACATTATATATTCATATAAGTTTCCATTGGCTTTTACATATTTATGCTCTTAAATCTTGTTATCTTTATTTTTTTTTTTTAAATTATACTTTTTTGTTTAAATTTTTTTCAGTCCATGATTGAACTAAGTCGCACACAAGATGAGGAAGTTGGTGATGGAACTACCTCAGTCATTGTTCTTGGTATATTCTTTTCACATCTAAAACTTTTTTTTTTTTGTTTTTTTTTATTCTGCTTAATCAGTTTATATACTATCTTTACATGTTACTAATTCTTAAATTTTAATCTTTAGCTGGTGAGATGCTTCATGTGGCTGAAGCTTTCATTGACAAAAAATACCACCCTACAGTTATCTGCAGAGGTAAAATCTTTTCTTAATATTTTAACCATTTTGTTAAATCTTTTCCTAAATTACATAACACATGTAAATATGTAACAAACAATACTTTTGCAGCTTACAACAAGGCTCTTGAAGATGCTCTTGCTGTGTTGGACAAAATCTCCATGTCTATTGATGTCAATGATCGTAAGCTTAAATCTTAATTATATTATTCTTTCTTGTTATATCTCATTTACATATATATATATATATATATATATATATATATATATATATATATATATATTATCATCATTTCAATTTTCAAATCAAATACTTTTGTCACAGGTTCCATGATGCTAGGTTTAGTGAAGAGTTGCATTGGCACCAAGTTTACAAGTCAATTTGGGGATTTAATTGCAGTAAGCATCATATTTATAAATTTACAATTTTACATATAATTTCTTTAATCTTTTTTAATCTTATAGGATCTAGCACTAGATGCAACAACAACAGTGGGAGTTGACCTAGGTCAAGGAATAAAAGAAGTGGACATCAAAAAATACATAAAAGTGGAAAAAATCCCTGGTGGACAATTAGAAGATTCCAAAGTCTTGAAAGGTGTCATGTTCAACAAAGACGTTGTTGTCCCTGGAAAAATGAAAAGAAAAATCGTAAACCCTCGCATCATTTTACTAGATTGCCCTTTGGAATACAAAAAGGGTGAAAACCAAACAAATGCAGAATTAGTTAGAGAAGAAGACTGGGCAGTTCTTCTAAAAATGGAAGAAGAATACATCCAAAATCTTTGTGTTCAAATTTTAAAATTCAAGCCTGATTTGGTCATTACAGAAAAAGGACTTAGTGATTTAGCTTGTCATTATCTAAGCAAAGCTGGAGTGAGTGCTATTAGGAGATTAAGAAAGACAGATAATAATCGGATTGCTAAAGCTTGTGGGGCTATTATTGTAAATAGACCAGATGAACTTCAAGAATCAGATGTTGGAACTGGAGCTGGACTTTTTGAAGTTAAAAAAATTGGGGATGAGTTTTTTGCTTATATTGTTGATTGTAAAGATCCAAAAGCTTGCACTGTTCTTCTCAGAGGTGCCAGCAAGGATCTTTTGAATGAAGTTGAACGCAACTTACAGGTACTTTGTTTAAACTTTTTCTCAAGTTTTGGAGTATGTTACAGAAATGGTCCCTGTGGTTTTGTGTAATTCACAGGTTTAGTTTGAGTTTGGATTTTCTTGCACGGATGGTTCTTGAGGTTTCGTTTTCTTTTCTTGCAACCTAAAAAAGTTTTTTAAGTTATGTCTTTGGTCACTGAGTATAGCAGGTATTTGAAACTTTGGTCCTTATTTAAGGTTTTTGTGATGTTTTTGGTCCCTGTTGTATATAACATGACTATATTTGTGGTTCCAAAAGTGCAAAAATCATGTATACTCGGACCAAAATTGCCAAAAATGTTACAGAACCTCAAATAAGGACACAGTTGCAAAAGTTAACTATAGTTGAGGACCAAAAATGTAATTTACTGTATTTGTATTCTATATGGCCATTTTGCTTTTGGACCAAATCAGTAAATACAATGTATTTGGAGGGACCAAAACTGCAAGAAATTGCAATCATGAGGACTGTCTGTGTAAGAAAAACTTAAATTGGACTGAACCTGCGAATTGCACCAAACCACAAGGACCATTTCTGTGAATTACTTTAAATTTTATTACAGTTAAATTTGACCAAATTTTGATTTTTTTTAAATAGGATGCTATGTCGGTGGCTAGAAACATCTTGAAGCATCCAAAACTTGTTCCTGGTGGTGGGGCCACCGAGTTGACTGTTTCTGCTACTCTAAAACAGAAGAGTTCATCTATTGAAGGCATTGAAAAGGTAATTTTTTTTTATTAATAAATAAATTACATTTTTTGTCCCAAAAAAAACTCTTTTGTAAGTTTGGTACTATTTTTGAAGTATCCTATCTGTTTTGGTCTCTGCGTTGTTTAAGTTAGCAATTTGTAAATGACCAATTTGCCCATGGACGAAAACTGAAAAAAAAGTATACCACATGAACCAAATTTGTAATTTTCTCTTATCCTTTATGTTAACTGTTATGCTTCTTTTCAAAGTGACCATTTTGCAATGTTATAAACCTCAAAGGATAAGAGAAAGTTACAAATCTTGTCCCTGTAGTTTAATGTTTTTATTATCTACTTTTGCTCCCAAGGGTAAAATGGTCATTTTCAAAAAAGGACTAAATTTGTCAAAATAACTTTTGAGTCATTTCTTTTAAACTTGAAAATGATAAATTTTTTTTTTTTTTTTAATGTTGAAACAGTGGCCATATGAAGCTGCAGCTGTAGCATTTGAGGCAATTCCAAGAACATTGGCACAAAACTGTGGTGTCAATGTCATTAGAACCATGACTGCTCTTCAAGGAAAAGTAAAGATACTTTTTTATTATTGACTTCATTTTATTTTTCTTTTTTATTAAATTTATTTTTCTCAACAGCATGCAAATGGTGAGAATGCATGGACTGGGATCGATGGGAATTCGGGTCAAATTGCTGACATGAAAGAACTAAAGGTGCACATCACATCACATCACATCACATCAATCACTATATTTTATGTTTTTTATTATTACGATTATATTTTTATTGGTACTAATTTTTTGAATATTTTAGATTTGGGATGCTTATAATGTGAAGGCACAAACGTTTAAGACATCCATTGAAGCAGCATGTATGCTTTTGAGAATCGATGATATTGTGAGTGGAATAAAGAAGAGGCAAGCACCTGGTGCAAGTCAACCATCAAAACCCACTATTGAAACAGAAGGTGATGCTGACAATGAGGGTATGATTCCTGAGTGAACAAGTAGCTGAAAACAAAAACATTAATCTAGTTTTCTTTTTTTGGAAAGATTTTCAATCGGTTTAATCTGAATTTGTTATGTGTTTTTATTGTGCTACGTGGATATTCAAAATTTTGGTTACTTTTGGGGTGCTATGATATGATTTGTTTTCAAGTTTTTGAGTTTTCACCATATTGAATCCGAGTTCATATTCATATAATGTGTTTTTTTTTCTATGATATGAATTATGAAACAGTGTGTGTGATTGTAATGGTTAAAACATTGAACAAAATAATCAAAAACAAGTTTATAATACCATTAGACATCATCACCATTACATGAACTTCATTGTTATGCAAGATTCACCATTACAAAACAGTGCCTTACACCATTACATTATAGGGAAGAATTTCAACAAAAAGAAACTACACTATTAATATTAACATGGCACTAAAAAGATGATTTTTCCCCCACATCAACATTTGACAATAAAGATACATTAACATTAACCAAAACATAGGACACATTGGTGAGTTAACCCATCTAATATACCTGTATTTGGATCCATATTTTGAACATGACGAGAGCCTCCTACTTGTGTTTAGACTTGTTCATGATGTTTGAACAATCTATGGGCTTCCAAAAAAACAGATGAGCATTTTCACGAACGGATTTTGTGAGAAAACCTTTGGCTGATGAACATAAATAAGGAAGAAGGAAATAACAAATATATAAAGGTTAAAATAGATGGAAGTGATAAGAGAAAGATCAAAATTACCTTCGTTTGAGGGGCATGTGAGCTTGTCTAAACGTCCAAAACCAAAACCAAGCTATCAAAATGGCCTAAGCGCATTGGAAACCACATGACTGTAGTTAGGGCTGTCAAATCGGGCAGTCGTGTCGTGTTTTTGTCTGACACGACACGACACGACAAGATTTTGTGTAACACGAACACGACACGACACGATGTCGTGTTTTTTTTTTCACTAACACGAAAACGAAACAATTAAAAAACGACAACACGACACAACACGAAAAAGATAATACTACATAACTATTAGTTTCTTTAATTCATATTTAATCACATATAACACGATAAAAAACGACAAACACGAAAAACACGACAAACACATACTCAATCGTGTCAATTTCGTGTGGATTTGTAAACACGAACACGACATCGTGTTTTTTAAACTTGACATGAACACAACACGAACACGAATTCAAATTTTGATTTCGTCCCGATTTCGTTTCATGTCGTGTATTTTTGTCGTGTCGTGTCATAAATTGACACCCCTAACTGTAGTATTTTGCAAAGTTGTCCGGGGCTTTTTGAAAACCACAGGGACCAATTATGCAATAATATTTTATAAAAGATTATACATTAGAAAATGTTATAATCTCCATATTACTTTGCTTAAAATAAAATGATTTGGATTTGATTCGGTTTATGGTTTCTTAGGTTTGTATGAATGAAACTTTTTTAGGTCCAAACCGAACACCAAACCAAATTCAAAGCAAACCACACCAAACCGAAACCGAAATACAATTCAGTTTGAAAACTAAGGAAACCAAATTGTAAAATCCAAAGTTTCAAATAAATATTTAAAGTTTTAAACATACAGTATATTAGTATGAATATGAAGTTCCAAACAAAACATAAGAGGAAAAATGGGTTAAAAAATAAAAATGTAACTTTTAGATTTTGGAATTGAGAAGTTGATTTGTCCATAAATTTTCATTTTTTCTATTTAATTTATAAAGTATAAAGAAATATAATATTTAATTAATTAAATTCGGTAATTCGGTTTGATTTGGTTCGAACCCCACTAGACCATCATTCAAACCATAAACAAAATTCATAATTCGGTTTAGTTTAACCGAACCGAAAACCGAATTTAAAATGTGGTTTGGTCTGGTTTTCGGTTTCGTTAACCAAATAATACCACCCCTACTATACATTATATGCATTTTAACGTGTCATGGTAATATTTAAAATTTGACTAAAACACAAAACAATATTGGAGTCCTTTGTAACGAAAAAAAGATATTCAATACTTGAAATAGATTTTTAAAAGTCAAAGTCAACGATGATTAGTGTGTTTTTCCACATCCCAACAAATATTTAACCAATTAAGCAGTTTGTAAGAGTAGTTAGTCAACTTCCTCCTCTCTCACCAACTTCAATACATATTTCATAAGTTGTTGGATTGGTTCATCGGCAATATCATTTATTTATATATATGTTATGTACACATATTAATTCTATCACATAAACTGTCTTGATCTCATAATTAAACATGATAATTCCCTCTTGTATAAATTCAATTTTGGAAAAGTTGACTCAGCGGTGGCCATTGCTGGTGTACGCCACCACCTGGACCACCATTCTGACCGCCACTGTGGCGGTGACCTCCTTTGCACCAGAGCTTGCATTTGTATGGGCCATAACACCTTCTTCTTCTTTCTCTAAAGTATGCCAAGATCAAAAGGAAGGTTTTGTGAGGGTTCCTTTTGATGTTCCATCTGAAATCTTTTGTCTTCCGGCTGAGATGTTTAAGAAATCCAAGATCGACTTGGTGGTGCCGCCCATCTTCGCGGCGGTGATTGTGGCAGCTTCCGCATGTTTGGTTAGAGCTCTTGGTTTGTGGGAGGTGGACGAAGGTGATGCTCAATGAGAGAATGAGAGAGAACGAGAGATTGCATTCATTAATATCATAATACAATTGATCATGCATATGGTGTCTTTTGTCGATATGGTATAAAGATTTAATTAAATTGTTGTAAATTACGTTCGTTTACAATAAATTCATTTGATTAAACCTTGTTTATATGGTGATCATTGTAAATCAATTGTATTCTTGATTCCTAAGAAAGGAAAATTAAACTTTTGACATCTTGATGATTTCAATAAATCTCATAAAATGAAAATGAAAGATGTACTCTTGATTCCTAAGAAAGAAAATTAAACTTTTGACATCTTGATGTTTTCAGTAAATCTCATTAAATGAAAATGAATGATGTATTTTTGGTTACTAAGAACAGAAAATTAAACTTTTGACATCTAGATGATTTCAATAAATCTCACAAAATGAAAATGAAAGATGTACTCTTGATTCCTAAGAAAAGAAAATTAAACTTTTGACATATTGATGATTTCAATAGATCTCATAAAATGAAAATGAAAGATGTACTCTTGATTCCTAAGAAAAGAAAATTAAACTTTTGACATCTTTTGATGATTTCAATAAATCTCATAAAATGAAAATGATAGATGTACTTTTGATTCCTAAGAAAAGAAAATTAAACTTTTTTCATCTTTGATGATTTCAATAGATCTCATAAAATGAAAATGAAAGATGTACTCTTGATTCCTAAGAAAAGAAAATTAAACTTTTGACATCTTTTGATGATTTCAATAAATCTCATAAAATGAAAATGATAGATGTACTTTTGATTCCTAAGAAAAGAAAATTAAACTTTTTTCATCTTTGATGATTTCAATAGATCTCATAAAATGAAAATGAAAGATGTACTCTTGATTCCTAAGAAAAGAAAATTAAACTTTTGACATCTTTTGATGATTTCAATAAATCTCATAAAATGAAAATGATAGATGTACTTTTGATTCCTAAGAAAAGAAAATTAAACTTTTTTCATCTTTGATGATTTCAATAAATCTCATAAAATGAAGATGAAAGATGTACTCTTAATTCCAAAGAAAAGAAAATTGAACTTTTGACATCTTAATGATTTCAATAAATCTCATAAAATGAAAATGATAGATGTACTTTTGATTCCTAAGAAAAGAAAATTAAACTTTTTTCATCTTGATGATTTCAATAAATCTCATAAAATGAAGATGAAAGATGTACTCTTAATTCCAAAGAAAAGAAAATTGAACTTTTGACATCTTAATGATTTCAATAAATCTCATAAAATGAAAATGAAAGATGTACTCTTGATTCCTAAGAAAAGAAAATTAAACTTTTGACATTAAACCTTGTTTGTTTGCAAACCAGCTGACAACGCTAAACTTATGAATTAATAATGTTTGGTAAAAAATAACTTATAAGCTAGATTGCAAATGTAAAATGACATAAATAGATATTTAGATATATAACTAAAAAAAAGAACATATATAATTAAGAACATATTTGGAATATTTAAAAAAAAAGCTTCATAAGCTTATAAAAAGCTATACGAGGAGTTTATCAAATAGCTAGCTTATAAGTTAGCTAAAATAAGCTGCTTTTGGTTTTATCGAACAATAAATTACAATAAACTAGTTTATTTTTTTACCAAACATGACCATAGAAGATTACTAGGAATTAATCCAATAAAATGAAAGATGTAACTAGTTAATATAAAACAAACCAATCCTCTTGACATTCAAGTATTACAAATACAAAGGTAAATCCACAATCCACATCCACGGATATCATTCGTTTATTATATCACGATGAACATTGAATATAATGCATAATACCATTATTATTTCTTAGGGAGCAAAGTAAAAAAGATGGTGAAATTAGGAGTGTTGAAGAGCAGAATCGAGTAGGTGGTTGCTGAAATCCCATAGCTTCTTGGCCATCGTAGGATTTCTTGCAAAATCACTTGCAGGCCATTCATTGCAATCAAGAAAATACTTCCCACTCACTCCTTTCAAATCTGGGTGCATTGCTACATAGCATGTTGTTGCTGCCCCCTGTTTATCATCAATTATATATTCACATATGTAAAAAATTTAAACATTTGGTTTTGCATTTTGGAATTGAGGAGTTAAGAAATGGAATGAGCCAAATGCCAATGAGGTGTTAGGAAAGGGAATCTGAGATTGAATGGAAAAAAAATATGATATGTTGTCTAATGGTATAAAATAATATGAGTCATAGCCTCTTTTCGTTGTGTTAATTTGTTTTTTAGGAAGAGGGTGTGACCGATTTCGTTTAAATAATGGGCAAATTAAAAAAGAATGTTATTAGTTTTTTCTTGATAATTTATAATTTTTCATTGCAACTATTATTTACCTACTAGAATTGGTCACCAGGATCCTAATGAATATATTATAGTTCCGCTGAAAATAATCTAGTCCAAACTAATCTACCTTCAAAATAGTTCAAAACATCATAATGTGATATACCTTTGTAGGAAATTATTGAAAATATTTGTAACCTGCTAACCGATTTTAGTAGGTAATTATTGGCTTAAATTAAAAAAAAAATCAAATTATCAACTGCAAAATTGTTTTTGTAATGACTTTTACGTAAAATTTGAAAATATAGATGTTTTTCTTAAATCTGTCCTTAAATAATTTTTAATACAATCTCTTTTGGAATTTTCACAATTGAACTTAATTACAGTTTTATTTTTCCATAAATAACTTGTAGTTTTACTTTTTATCATATTATTTGAGTTTTTTTTATAAACTTTTACTATGTTTATTTTTTTATTTTCACAAATAAAAGCTTTAATTTTTTTTTCACAAATAAAAGCTTTAATTTTTTTATTAAATAATGTATAGAATAGAGTTTATATAAATTATGTTATATACATATAATATAAAGAAATTATATGAAACTAATTTTATATCACACCCATACTTTGTGCTACATTATTATGTTCGTGACTTGTGAGTAGTAGCCTAGTAGGTGTATCATGCAACTCATGTGCTCCTAGGTTGCAAACTTGCAATAAAAGTACCTGTGGGACATTTTTCCATAGAAGGTAAGTGAGGAGCTTCATAATTCCTGTCAACAATGCATACATAAAACAAATTATGCATTTTTTACATTTATACTTAGAGGTAGTTTGGCAGGATTGAACTTTTAAAAAATTAAGAGACTACAAAATAATTAAGAGACAAAAATTAAAAGGCTATCAAATGTTATGAATCTAAAAAATCAAGAACCTATCTCTCAATTGAAAAATTAAGAGGCTACCAAGTAGCCCCTCAGACATATTAATATGTTCATAGAAATACAAACACACACTTACTCATGAGGTTTAAAGAATATTTCATAAGATTTGTCATTATTAGACCCGGGTGTACAGAGTTTACTGTAATATTTACCCCTTCTTCCTGCATAATTTCCAATCAAATAAATTCAAAATCTCATTAACAAGAAATTAAATATTAAAGAAAACAACAAAACCCACCTCTAAGCGTCGAGAGAGCTCATTTGCATGCAAAATATTTGCTAATTTCGATTGCCCATATGCCTTTTTATCTGAATAACTGATTCACACAATGACAACATATTAGTTAGGAGGTTGTTAAGCATTATTTTGTTGTATCAAATGTTATTTTATTTTATTTTTAAATTACCTTTTTTTGTCATTAATTGAATCAAATCTGATCCCTTCTTCATAAGTGTGGAGATGAGCTACAGATGACAAATTTACAATTCTACCCTCGATGCCCGTAGATGAAGCCGTGTTCTTCATTTTGTCAAGGAGTAAGTTTGTCAAATAGAAGTGGCCAAGATGATTCGTTGCAAATTGCATCTCGATTCCATCTTGTGAGAGTTGGTAGGGGCAGAACATAATTCCAGCATTGTTTCTAACAATTTGGAAATATTTCTTAATTAGTGCCATATTATAATGAAATACAGAGCTAATCACAAAAATACAAAGCTCACAACATTATTTTTCCCAAAGTTTCATCATTAATTTCACGAAAATTTATGTCATTTTGGCAGATAAAGTATTTAGAAAATATTTCGTGAAACATGATACCACGAAAAGTGATTTCGTAATTTAGCGAAATAGACTGTTATTGTTATTTTGTGACAAACATTGAAAAAGTGGTAATTAGTCATTTTTAGTGAACAACTCTGAAAACAACATATTATATGGCTTAATTAGGCATATATAAATGTAAAAAAGAAAGAGTGAAAATTAGCTAACATCAAGATGTTGAGCGGAAGGTTAAGAGCTATGAAGTTGTCTGCAAAATCCTTGACGGATTTAAGAGAGGAAAGATCAAGTTGAAGAACATCGATCTTAGCATTTTCGTTGCTTTTAAGGATGTTTTGTTTTGCTTCATTTGCAGCCTCCACGTTTCTTGCTGCTATTATAACATGTGCTCCTCTTAAGGCCAGCACTCTTGATGTCTCTAACCCTATTCCACTTGCCCCTCCTGTAAATCCACCATTAATTATATCTTTTCTTAATTTATATATATATATATATATATATATATATATATATATATATATATGTGTGTGTGATAATTTCCAAACCCATTTACATTTTTAGAGGATCAAAATATAAATATATGTGAATCTTTTTAATTAAAAATAATATTAAATTATAGTCAAAGTCTTACCAACTCAATTAAGGTTGAAATTTACAATATCAATTCCATAGGTTGAAAGTTGAATAATTAATGCTCATCAAATACAAGATAAATCTCAAAGTAAAGTTGAATAATTACTCTGTTCCTATCCACAAAATAATTTCGCCGTCAAATCTTTTAATAAACACGAAATACATATATAAGAATTATAGAATAGGACCACAAGATTTTAGCTGTACAAGTGGAACACGATCACGAGGTATGTAGGCCTTACGCTAAGGTCACAATGTAGTTTGGGAAACATAAAGACATACTCTATATAGCAAAAAATAAAAGTAAATAGTACAATAAATACGACACCCTAATAAATGCAAATTAATATTTCATTTAAACTCTCTTGATGACCCCTACCTTCCCTCTTTAAATTTTAAAACCACAATAATCAGTTTGACTGGTTTATATATATATATATATATATATATATATATATATATATATATATATATATATATATATATGAAAGTTAATTTGAGATAGGGAAATCTGCAGAAAAGTCTTAAAATTTTATCATAATTTACGAAAAAGTTCCAAACTAAAATTTGTTTACGAAAAAACATGAATTACCGGTAAAAATGACGATTTGATCCATTTTTTCCGGTTTATCGGTTTTATTACTTACATGTTTCACTAAAGTCCCATTATTTACCCTAATTTGCGAATAAGTCCCAAAATAAAATTTACTGATTATTTGGCCCTTTTCTTCATGTAACATATATTTTATTGGTTTCATTGCTGATTTAGACACCTAGCCATTAAATTAGCTGATAAGATGAATACGATGAGTTATATAATGCCACATTTACTATAAAATTTGATACCCATCTCATCGGCTCATTTATGACGATGTGTCTACGTTAGCAATGAAACCAATAAAATGTGTGTTTCCAAGAAAAAAGGGCAAAAAATGAGTTGATGTCAGATGAGATGAATATATTGGGTTACATAAGATTAAATAGACAATTTGATATTTCTTATAAACGTAAAAAATAACGCAGTTGTTGTTAGTTTATGTAATTATTGTAGTCTTTATTGGATGCATTTTATGTTCCAAAAAGATATACAATACATAAGGATATCAAGTTTTATGTTAAACATAACATTATATCACTCAACATATCTATCTCATCATCTCATTTAATGACTAGGCGTCCAGGTCAGCAATGAAACCGGTAAAATGTATGTTACATAGAGAAAATAGTCAAATCATCAGTAAATTTTATTTTGGGACTTATTCGAAAATTAGGGTAAAATAATGAGACTTTAGTGAAACAGATAAGTAATAAAACCGGTAAACCGGAAAAAATGGGTCAAATCGTCATTTTTACCGGTAATTCATGTTTTTTCGTAAACAAATTTTAGTTTGAGACTTTTTCGTAAATTAGGGTAAAATTTTAGGACTTTTCTGGAGATTTTCCTTTGGAATAGCTAAAAAAAACATAAGTTATGGTTCGTGTAGTAGTTGAACTGACTGTTTGCTGAAAAACTAGTTGTTATATAAAAAACTAACGGATAGCTAATAAAAAATAACATTTGGTAAACTAGTTGAAAGATATAAAATGACATAAAAATACGTTAGCTTATCATCTGGCTGTGACGCATTAGACACAACACAACCTTAATGACTTCAGTTATAAATGTTTGTTTTTTGTTTAATGTTAACCAGATGTTTATGTTAGAAAATGAGTGTCTTCAACATCTAATGATGATTTTATCTTTATTTTTCCATAAATGCCCTCATTTCCTACAAGTCTACAACATATCACGTCTTCTTCAAAATACGGCAAGGAACATGGCAGATGCATTCCAGACTACTACGTGCTAATTGCCTTTTTATAATCAAATTTAATGGACTGCTACTCCAAAGAGTTATTTTTCAATTTTTTTTTAAACATTTTTTTCTAATAAGTTTGTAAAACATGAGTATAAGTCTATAAGATTCATATTCTTTTATTTGAATATATAAATAAGAATAGTCTAAAATTTTACATTCTGAAAACCATCGATCAAAACTAGTACGCATTCTAAAACTCGTGAAGGAAAAATATGAGAGGAGTTTGCCAGTTTGGAGAAAAAGGAAAACTACAAACGGATAAAATATTAGTGTCAGAAATCTGAATACATTAAGCAGATTTTTCAATTGGCTTAACTTTTCGAGTTATTCTCTCCGAATTAAATAAAAAAAATTATATATAGTTATTTTGAGTAAATGCTTTTAACACTTTCATCCTAAAAACACAACCACTAACATTCGTTTAACCTCAGAGAACTCAAATCTCTCAGTTTTCACCATGAACTCTATACATTCCCTCACACTTAGTGTGTGTGTGTGTGTGAAAGAATGAAGAATCAAAAAGAAGAACGATATACATGTTCTTTTATATCTCTAAATTAAAAACAAAAGTATGTATGTATCTATGTACCTGTAATGACGACAGTTAGATCGCCGGCATCAATTCCGGCGGTGACTTGTTCGGCGGTGGTGGCTGATCCAAAGCCACTGGGCCCTGGCCAGCCTGTTATCAACCTAAGTATTCCCATCTTCAGATATTTGGTCGGAGATTTCCTACTTTCTGTGAATGAAGGTGAGAGCTCAGCTTGAATTTGCAGAAAGAGAAGAGAGAGTTTGGAAGGGATATATAGAAGCTGGGATCTGAAGGTGACGGAAGCAATCGGCAAAAAGTAAAGCGGTGCATTATGTCACCATAGTTATTCTTGCAAGAATAGAAAAATAAGAGTTTTGTACTTGTGTGTTCTAATTTTAAAAAAGGCTTTTAAAAAAAAAGAGTTTTGTACTCTTGCAATTGACCGTTTATTTTTACAATGTAGAAGTTTTATTTTTTCATTTTGATAGTTTTGAGTTTTAATAAGGACATTAACAAATTATATCAACTTGGTCATACTAACCTCTAATCATTAACTAGTGGTTCAAAAAAATTAAAAAAAATGGTATTATAATATTTCATGAATTTTTCATCATTGTTTTTATGATTATTATTATTTTTAGAATGACTAACATTCACATTCATTTAATCTTACTCCTAAATCTATGTCTTGTGTCAACCAAGAGACTTGAATCCAACCATTTTGCCAAGAGACACGTTTCCAACACATTTGATATCATTAAACCAAAAACCATTTATTAAGATTATTAATTACTTTTTACCATATGGTCCACCATTATTGCCATTGTTCCTGGACACACCATGTTAGATTTTGGGGTCTTAAGAATATTAATATATTTGGATATTTTTTGGTTCGTGATTGCAATCACTTTTCAAAATCTGTGATTTCGACCCTATAGCCTGGGGTATCACGAAATCAGATTTGGGATAATCTAAAGAATTTCAATTTAGAAGTCAGACCACTTCTAAATCAGAAACACAAAAAATACATTGTTGTTTTTGTGTTCTTGAGATATAGAACAAATCAATGTATGATTTTCGTGTATAAAAGTTCCAACCCATAAAACATTCTTATACTAGAGGGAAAGTAGTTAAATGGAAGTTGCATCCCTTTTGGCACCAACATTCGTTAGTTAATTGACATAACTAATGCTTGCATCATCATGATGTCATCAAGTGATTTTGGCGGGAAAATGCACGACTTGAGTCATACCCGATGTCATCAAGTGATTTTGGCGCTGCCCCTTGGAAACCCGTCCGCTGACCAGTCAGCGGAACCACCGCCAGAAGCTTTGCCCCTTGGACCCCGCTAGGGGCAGCGCCCCCTAGACCTCACCAGGGGCACAACCCCTTGGAACCTTGCACCCAGGGGCGGTCCCCGTATTCTTGAATTCATATTTATCACTCCCAGTGTGCACCTCAAATCTCCTAGCTCAGTTAGTAAATGAAGTTCGACCTATCTCATTATTAATAATAATTACACCAAAATATGTTGATAACACTAAAATTACCAACATTACTCCCTTATTTTAGTGTAATCATTAATTAACTAAAAGCAAACACAAAATCAAACTTATGCATAAATTAAAATATCTTAAAGATTGAATTTTCACATTAGTATAATATACATGTCAAATACTCGAGAATCAGGGTGTCCTAAGGATTGAACCCTTTAACTCATTTGAGTAACTGAAGATACTATACACATAGATTAAACACAATATCTAATGTTTCATACTTGACATTATTACAACCATGTGTCCAATCCATTGATTAGTGCATAAAATCCTAGCCCAAGATTTTTGAAGCGACATCACTTCACACTCACATAGGTAGCCCTTCTACATTATGCACCTGTTAATGTGCTTCTTCAAAAAAACTATTAAGAACTTAATCAACCTACTTTAACTTTATAGGTTATAAGCACATACCTTGGGATGTAGTAAAACAAATGTGCTTCAATCTCCATAAGCAAGCTTTCCATATTGAAGTCAACTTCTAATATTGTATTAAAAAGGATTTGGGTATATAACCCATAGAGATATCAAGTGGACCTTAAACCCATCCCTATAACAGACTTCTTTACCAAGTCTCTAGCTAACCCCTTCGTCAAGTGATCAACTAAGTTTTGTTAAGATTAAACAAACTCAACATAAATGATACCATAAGTAATGAGCTCACGTACCATGTTGTGCCTAACACCCAAATGTCGCGACTTTCCATTATACACTTAACTGTATGCTTTTTCCAAGCTGGCAACACTATCACAATGTATAGAAATAGGTGATATAGGCTTTGATCACAAAGGAATTTCATAGATCAAATTCCTTAACCATTTTGCTTCTTTTCCAGCAGCTGCAAGGGCTACAAATTTAGATTTCATAGTTGAATTTGTGATGCATGTTTGTTTCTTAGAAGCCCATGAAATGACACCTTCACCAATATGTCACACCCCCAAACTGGATGGCGGAAACGTCCGGGGGTGGAACGATGATCACAGTATCACAATAATTGTATACATTGAAACACAAGTACATAAAAAACCATCATATCATATGATTATATCAGTTACATGACCCAAATGTTACTTAGTATCAAAATACATTACAAGGTTTACATGTTATCAAATAAAGTAGTTCTCGTAATGATATTTGGTGTCTTGTCTTCAAAAGTAGCTTTACTGACCCGAGCTTAATTGTTTCCTGAGATTACATGCCGTTTTAAAAGTCAACATAAAGTTGGTGAGTTCATAAGAGTTCAGTTGTAAAAAAATCGATATTTTTCCTTGTGTAAAAATTGTATCCTTGTAAAATGTTTTGTATTTGTACGCCTTCAGCGTAAAAGAAGAATGTATGTGTGTAGTATGTATCCAAAAACATTTATAAAATAAAAGTTCCCATAACTTCTAAACTTATAAAAAGTGTGACTTGTCTTGTGATTTTTATTATCCAAAAATCGAGTGTATAAGTAAATAACCATACTTGTAAATGTAGTATATAAGTAAATAACTGTACTTATAAATATTGTGTATAAGTAAATAACCATACTTATAAATGTTGTGTATAAGTAAATAACCATACTTATAAATGTAGTGTATAAATAAATAATCATACTTAAAAATTTAGTGTATAAGTAAATAACCATACTTGTAAATGTAGTATATAAGTAAATAACTATACTTATAAATATTGTGTATAAGTAAATAACCATACTTATAAATGTAGTGTATAAGTAAATAACCATACTTATAAATGTAGTGTATAAGTAAATAACCATACTTATAAATATAGTGTATAAGTAAATAACCTTACGTATAAATGTAGTGTATAAGTAAATAACACATACTTAAAAATGTAGTGTTTGTTCCCAGAAAATCCAATATTTCCTTTAAAATGAGTTGTAGTCTTAAAACCTTAAGACCAAAAATGTATAAATATTTCTATACTTAAAGTAGTATTACGTAGTTTTATTCTTATATAAAACCATTTTAATGCATGTTACCCCGTAAACTAAATGTATCGTTGATTTCCCATGTGAGTTATTACAACCATGCTAAAACCGAAGTTGGCATGCTGTGACGTTCTTTAGGCGTCGAAATGTTAGACATTTGTCACCCCAGACCTGTCGGTCTAGCTGTAGCTACCAACTTAGGTGCGTGATTGTCAGTCCCGTATAGATCTATACACAGGTATCACGCTCTCTTACCGAGATTCTGGTTATAATTTAGGACTTTAGTGTGTACTCTGGTAGGTACGGTGAAGAATTTGTCTCACATAACTGTTTCAATAAGTTTACGTTTTGGTGTAATGAAAACCATTGTATCTGTAAATATCACTTTTCCATAGTATTAATATAGTGTATAATAGTATTACCCAATGGATAATGGTTTTATCCAATGTGTAAACACAAAGTTTTAATCTTTCAAAACTAGACTTTTGGTAAAAATGTTAGTTTGTGTTTATCCAATGTGTAATAATGTTATCCAATGGATAAAGGTATTATCCATCATACAATAGATCTAATACTAGAAACTTGTGCATATAAGAGAACGAGACTTGTGTGCTTTCTTTGAAAACATGAATATATGTATATATCTTCATAAAAAGAACATAAACATGCATGATATATTATTACCCAAAGGTTAAAAGTTTTGTCCAAAGTATATTAGATCTAGGACCTTTGTGTAAAGTTATTGTCCAAAATGTATTTTTTTTGTTTACATGGCATGTAACCTCCCCCGAAAGTGTAAAATGAGTGAAAACTAGTAGAAAAGGGGAGGGGGGGGGTATCAACTCACCTTTTGTGCTTTCCCTAGAAGATAACAAGAAATGGTGAGAAAGATGAGGTAGTAAGCAAGCTTTGGAAGACAACACCTTCTTGAACTTCAAGATCTTGCCTAGGGTTTTTGATTCAAGTTTATGAGTAAAACAACCAAAAGATGATGTTGGATGGTGGTAAATCTCGAAAATTATGAGGAAAACACTTACCAAAAGACTTGTAAAAACACTTGGAACTCTTGGAAGCACTTAGAGAGAGTTTGTGAAAGTTTGAAGGTGGAGAGGGGGGGGGGGGTGGGAGAAGGGCCATTCAGCCATAATTTATAGAGGGAGAGAGAGGAAAATGGTGAGTTGCATGGGTAAAGGAAGAGGTAAGCCCTTTCCATTAAAATAATAAGGTATGGTGATGTGAATATTTTAATGAAGGTAGGGTTCTTGGATTAAAATAATCAAGGTAAGCCTCTTTGATTTTTTTAATATAAAGATGATATGATGATGTTGGATATGGTGAGATATGTTGTAGCGTCCGCAGATTCGGGCTAGTCAATTTAGAGACGATAAGCGTCAAAAATGATTTTTTTTATACATTATTATTTAGAATAAATAATCTTAACTAAGTTGTAGTATATGTCACAAGGTTTCCGTACATATAAAGAACGCTGAAATCCGAGTTATAACGAAGAAGTTATGACCTGTCGAAGTTTCGTGACAGAACCGGAACGACACCGGGAATCGTAAAAAGTGAGTTTACGATAAAGTGCTTTTTATCCTTGGGATTCTAAATGAAATTTGTAGAGTACGTCTCCACCTTCATGTGGATATAAAGAACATCAAAAACGGAGCTCGTATGCAAAAGTTATGCCCTTCCGAAGATGTAGCTGTCTGAGAGCATGACACGTGTCAGAAACCCTAATTTGACTGAGCTCACGATGTGAACATAGAAATTCACGATGTGAGAAGTCAAACGGACACTAATCGAGCCTAGAAAACACCTGGAAAGTCTACGGGATGACTCTTGAAAG